TCTCTTTAAGGAGATTCAAGCCCACTGCAGCAAATGTTTTTCACCGGTCCAGCAGTAGTCCTTCTTGACTTGTCCCCTCCAGGATACAACAGCCTAATCACAAAATATAACTCAACAACTCTGGACAAGAGTTGAGTCCAAAGCTCCACAAAAAGAACACCTCCCTTCAACTAATAAGAACTCTCTTTTTGACAAACTTTATGCACTCTATATTTTTCTCTTGTATGTTGTATATATTAAACCAAATGAAGACCACTACTATTTATACTAGAAGAAGTCTTCCTAGCAATGAATAGGAAGATAATGGTGTAGTAAATAGTGAAGATAAATGGCATTAGGAGTTACATAGGTTACAATGGTAATGGAGGAATTAAGAGTGACAATCAAGTGCCCACCAATGCCATCAACGGCTAATACCATCAACGGCATTTTGCAAAACTGATGTGCATATGGCACTAACTCCAATTTGGAGTAATATAAGATAATAATGCAGCAATTATGATTGTCATTACATGCATCCAACATTTTGTAACATATGAAAAGTGAGAAGTCAACCAACGGCCAGAAAACCAATGACTATGTGGCAATACATTCTTAAAATATTAAAATGCCACACTAACAAATATTTTAGTATCAAACAGTTTCAAGAATATGAACCATTCAAGATGTGTTGATATAGTTATAAAGCAAGATAAACAACCTACTCCAGAACATGTACATATAAGGTCAATAATATAATGAAGTTGTCATCTCAACTGAGCAAAATCAACAAATTAAAGGAATATTAGTTACTAGTCATGACTCATTGAGATGATGAGACTTAAAAGACCAATTTTGTAAATGTTTCAGCATCGTAACCTAAGTTGCTCGGACTCTTCACTTACACTGTTGCATCCATATTGACACGACATGAATGTGGGCATGGAATTCGTACAAGATTAGGTCAAATCAATTTTGTGTACTTTGACCAAATTCAACATAGAAATTTGGGACATATACAAGGATTTTTGTAATCAAAACTAAAACTAAGGTGAAATTCAAGAAAACGGAGTAAACTAGTATATAGAAAATTCTATGTCAATCCTTTTCCTTATATAACTATCAAGGATTCTACTCTTGATCAATATTTTTCTTCATAATACCTTGTAAGCTTTCCCGTGTCTCATAACTTAGAGATAATAACTCTATTTTTAGATATTTAAATTATTTTTAGCCGAATCATTGCACCTGTATCCATATCCCCGAATCTTAAAATATAGATCATGAAGGACTCAATCTCTAGATCCACACCCGTATCGGACTCCCACATCCGAGTCCGAGCAACTTAAATCATAACTACATCAAAGGGAAAAAACAAAGTATTCAAAAACAAGGCTTCCCATTATCGTGCAAACAAGGAGAAAACAGGATGCGACAGCATTTTTGAAGCCTCGATCAGATAAATTCGGTTAGATAACAGATTAATATTCAGAATATCTATGTTCTGATATAGCTGATGGTCAGGTACGATTAAAAACGATATACAGTAAACTTGAAATCATTGACGAGCGATGTAACAGAGATCTTAGGTATCAGAATTACCCCATGGAAACTCCTTGTTACGAATGTGCCGATACGGGTAAGGCTGCAGACAGAAATGATAGCAAGAGTTGTAAAAATAACGTTATGTAGTCACACACAGAACATATAAGAACGTTTATTATACAAATTTTCAACCCCTCGAAACAAAATAATCTCCTTATAATGTCTGTTTAATCAACAGATGAAATACAAGTTAGACCCCATTAAATATTACAAGGACCAAATTATCGTAGTTCTATCTCAAATCTCATTACTTCAACAGGACTAGTGAAAACTATTCCGAAACATATCGTCAATATGAATTTCTGTTTTCATGTGAAGTTGTGGCATCGAAATTTTGAAGACTGAATACAGTATATTAACACTTACAGGAGGCTCTTCATAGTGGGGATGACCCTTAGAGAGATTAAAGATTGTAAGAATAGCGCACGTAACTATTCCAACATAAGTAATTTTCTCCCACTTAGCTGCTTCACCTGCCCACACAAACCATTCAATATTAACACTTCAATCACATCGAAATTTAGTGATTTTACAAATGTATATATTTATACTCTGTTATTGAAAATATTGAATTTAGTTGAACATGTTGATGGTATATACTCCATCTAGTTGATGAATGTACACATATTGAGACTCTAACACCCTTTTCATGAACAGGATCAACTGGAACATGGATTGCGAGCCCTATCAAGATAAAGTTGACTCTAATACCATGTAAAGATACGACACTTAGGCCTAACTCAACTTCAAAAGCTAACTCAAGAAGGGAGAATTGCTGGTCCATTCCCCAACCAATGTGAAACTCTAACTCATATAATGTGAAATTCTTTGGTAAAATAACACTTGTACCCAAAGAGGAAAACTATTTACAAGCGGTTACCCTTTACTTTCATACACTCCTGTTTTTAGTTCTAATGTGCATTTACTGCTTGATGCCATCAAAGTATATATACTTTCATGATATCAAAGAAGAAGAAAGAGTGGTTCAATGGGTAAATAGTTTGAGTCGTGGATCCAATCAGGGTACATATATTGGGTTAGATCCAATTTGGATAAATAGTTTGTCTAATGGCTCCAACTTGTGTAGTTTTCCCAAATTCCAATCCACTCTAACAGATATTATAGAGTTAATGACAAAAAAAAAACACCTAAGGTATAAATCCATACCTCAACTATCCATTATTTCATTTACGTTCATCTACTATCACTCTTTTAGTATTAAGATACACTCCAATGTTAAATTGACCTACACGCACCACATGTTATCATTGGGAACAAATATTTAGTCAACTCAGCATTGACGCGTATTTTAAATATAAAAAGAGTGAAAATTTAAACAGGTAGAAATAATTAATAAATAATTGGGATATAGAATAATTCAAGTGTATTTTTTTAACCATTAACTCTCTATTTAATATGTTTCAATATAACAACATTGTTGGGTTCTGAAGGTGATTGGGCGTCATGCGGAAGCTTACAAATTGCAAATCATATAGTTGATAAATCAGATAACAAAAAACTTATACTAAAAGTCAAAATATTATTATATCAAAACTAATATAAAGAAAAACATTGAAAGTTTAGAGAGAATAAATATCCCATAAACAAAAGTCTTAAAACGACTACATTGTGGATGTTATTGGTGTTGTGTTAGAAGAAACAAACTTATATTTATAAAGTCCTAAAACCTTTCCTACTAGAAAAGGAGTCCTAAAAGGAGAGAATAAATCAAATATAAAATAATATTATATTTTCCTTTCAAGAAAAGTAAAAACATTTATGGTAATGTTTTGTTTTTTCTTTAAGGAAAAATAAATTTTAAATTATGGTAAGAAAATCAGGACAAAACCCTAACACAACATTTCACACAATCAAAAAAATTCCAGACAATCGAAGTTGCTATAGAGAAGTTTAACTGTATATCGATTCAACTCTCATCGAGCTCATTTCGTAGTAAAAATTTTAAAAAAAGGAAATTTAATTGGGAAATTGATGATTATGAACTTACGAGCCTCATCATGGTGGACGGAAGAAGAGAAATTCCTCTTGAATGCACCGCCGCTGCGGAGGACGGAGTGAATTCTAGATTTGATCAGAGCAGATGCCATTAATTCCGGTGAATTCTACACTCTTCCACCTACTATAAACATTATTTATATTGGAAAAGGACAAAAATGTTCTACACTCTTCCATGTTACTTCTTATAAGTCAACAAGTTTGTCAATAACAAAATTAAACTATTGCTTCCAAAATTACCTCATAATTGAAATTAGTGTAATTATTGGGTAATAATTACTCTCTCCGTCTCATATTAGATGGACACTTTCAACTTTACACGGTGATTAAGAATTCATTAATACATTGGAAGACTTTATCATTTTGCCCTTTGTTTATAACAATGCACATTAATAAAATTTGTTTAAACTTCCAAAAGTCATATTAATTGTAGGGGTAAAATGAGAAAAAAATTAATTAATTCTATCCTAATTTAGTAAGTGCTCAAGTAATATGAGACAAACATTTTTAGTAAGATGCCCATCTAATATGGGATCAGTTTGGTAATTATGCTGGTCTGTTTATTTAACCCAATAAAATTATAATTGCAATCCTAAGATTATATTAAATTTTAAGAATAAAAGTTAAACTATTTAAAATTAAAAAATTATATTAGACAAATAAGAGACTTAATTTTTAAATGATATTGAATTAAAATTATCTTTTGAAAATACATTAATCATAACTAATATTATTTAAAAAAAAGTCGAATCGAACCGAAAATTGACCCTACAGCACGACATAAATTCAGTGATATAAATTATGACAAAAATTTTCTTAAAATCTTGTTCTACAAATGGAAACTCATGTATATAAGATAAACTAGAGGATGATAAGCTCGTGCAAGCATGTGCCTTATGTAAATAAAGATAATTATAATTCAATTAATTTAAATAATATTTATTAAATTGAATTCATTTGATTCGAATATGAATTATTATAGTTTCCATTAAGTGCTCCATCTACCATAAAATAAAGGGTTCAAATTTCAGTAGCGGTTTATCCTTAACACTAATTACTTATTTTCTAAATTAGTGTCCAAGACTTAATACTTGTTAGAAAAAATAATAGGAAATATAATTAACGAAGAAGATGGCTTTGAGGTGTGTAAAATCGCTTTCTTTAAAAAGATATTGCCCGTATACATATTGGAAAAATACAAACAAATACAAAATCTTTTATTTATACATGCAGAGTTTTCTTAGACAACCTATAGAGAGTCTTTATATTTATAGAACTTAAGAGATGACTTTTCATAAGAGTTATGTTCTGTCATGAACATATAACTTTTCATAAGAGTCATGTTCTTTCATGATCAAATGACTTTTTATAAGAATCATGTTCTTTCATGAGCAGTTTATTTAATTTAAGACTTTTATATATTACAAAATATCCAACAATACTAACATCAATTATTACTCCTTATTAGAGTTAATGTGGTAAAATAGTCATGTCAATCATTGTTTTCTTAATGGATACGTCAAGTTCAAATGTGATAAGTAAAAAGTAAACGAAAAAGTATTAAAAAGAATTGAAAGGTAAATTAGTAAAAATACTCTTCAATAGCCATGTCAATCATTGTTTATTTTTAATGAATATGTCAAGTTCAAATGTCATAAGTAAAAAGTAAATGAAAAAATATTAAAAGAATTAAAAGGTAAATTAGTAAAATACTCTTTTTGTTTATGATTATTTTTAAAACTTTGTAAATAAAAATATGAACAAATAGTACAAAGGAATAGATTCATTAATAATTGTGCATAGATAATTTTGTGGATCTCTTAATATTATGCATATGGAATAAACAAAACAAAAACAAAAAAAAAACCAATCATGAAATGACAAAGCACACATGTTGATACCAAAATTAAAGTCACCCTTCTATAATAGTAGAAAGTTATACCTTAAAAAGGAAAAATTTCAAAAAACAGTTGTAAGTTAATTTTGATGGTCTTATAAGCTTAGTCAAACACCCTCGTACGACTACGAGTACCGGCTTAGGTCATTAGCCTCAATCATCTATGGATCTTCACGTTTTCAAACTCCTGGCATAATTTTACAAATTTTGTAGCTATCTCCTCATATGCTTCAGAAAACTCATATTCCTCCATACCTTCACAAAAATACGAATGAAGAAAGTCCTTCTTGGCATACATTTGATTAAACTTGTGACTTATTCGGGTAAAAACGTCTTGGATACTCGTCGTGCAGGATACTACGCACACTTCCCTCTGCACGGTTGCTAAATCGCCTCCCGGATAGACTGTCACGGGCACATAATTGATGCCAGACCTATAAGAAGTATCGACATAGTCAAATCCAGATCCAGTTCTTGGTCTGGCCATAGATGCCGCATTATCTACATCATCAAAATCCACATCATCCCCACGGTAAACTATCAAGTTTTCCATATACATTCCCTTACATGGATCATACTTAACCATGTAAGACGAGGGTTCTAATGCAGCATTGGTAAGTTCTACAAATGAATGTTGTTTATGTTGAACCTCTTTGGCTGACAAAACCGGAACATATGAACAACCCACAAATCTAATTAATCCTAAACTTGTGCTATCACAAAAGGACCGTAAATTTTGATTAAATGTTGATCCTTCAAACCTCATTGAAACAGTTAAAGAGGAGATGGCCTAATCAAAACAAACAATAAGAAAATAAATTAGTTACATTATCCGTTTTATTAGACGTCCCTTAAGAAACAAGACATGATGATCAAATATATATATACCTGAGAGACGAGTCGATTCATGTTAACATAGGTGGGGTTTTCAATATCAAGAGAGCGGCGACATATGTCAGAAACAGAGACATTATCAAACATGAGAGTAACATTGGAATGTTCTTTGAGGGAATAACTTGCAAGAATAGTATTATATGAGTCCAAAATAGATGGTGAAAACTCATCATCAGGGGAAGGATACACAGTAAATGCAATTTTTTCTTTTGGCTCATACTCAGTTGACAAGCTTTCCAACAGAAGTGAACAGAAACCCGAACCAGTGCCTCCACTAACCGCGTTAAAGATCACAAAACCCGACAGATTAGAACAATCATCCACAAGCTTTCTGATACGATCTAAACATTCATCAATTATCTTCCCTCCAACTGTTTTTTTTTTTAAAAAAAAAAGATTAGAATTGTCGTCATGTGTTAAAAGGCCAAATTTAGAATCAATACGTACGAGTGTAGTAACCACGAGCAAAGTTATTTCCTGCATCTTCTTTGCCACAGATAAATTGTTGAGGGTTATAGAGCTGGCCATTTGTTCCACTTTTCACTTCATCAATAACACTAGGCTCAAGATCGATAAACAGAGCACGAGGAACAAACCTCCCTGAACTTGTTTCACTAAAGAATGTACGGAACCTGTAATCACCATCATCATCTTCATCTTCAGTAGTACTCTGCATACCATCAGGCTACCAATACACAATTATAAGTACATTTGTATTTCTACCATAAAAGTTAGTACTAATTTGTAATGGTCACTAACTGGTTGGTAACACTGATCTAAAATTTGAAGTTTATGAGTTTCTATAATCCACCCCACCTACAAAGCTCTTATTAAGACACTCCCTCGTTTTAAAGATCGAGCATTGGTACAAAGAAGGTAATCAATCAGGTGGTCTGACCATCTTTCTGATATTATTAGTTTGCCAGTCAACAACAACCTAACATAACCAGTGAAATCCTATAAGTGGAGTCTGAGGAGGATAGAGTATACGCAAACCTTATCTTCTATATTCTTGGAGATGTTAGACCTCACTTCCCTCGTGCTCACGTACTTTACTATATATAAGGTAGCAGTCAAGCCTAACCCCACCATGAAGGTAGTTTTGAATAAAGAATATAAATAAGTGTTTGGATAAACTCTTGTGTAGAAAGATTGATCTCGTAGTTCTTGATCGGTGAAGATGCATTAATAACAAAGTACAAATAATATGTTTTGAACCCATTAAATCAAATCAAATCGACCACGTAAAATTCCAAACTCAAACTCATAAAAATCAAATCCTAAATCCGCTAAGAAAATCTTTCTTTAATTCTCACCCAAACATGTAATCGTAAATAATTAAGGAATCAAATATAAATGTGCGAGTGCACGCATTGGAAAGAAAGAAAGAAAGATAGAACCTGAATTCCATGTTCAAGACAGTAAAGTTCCCAGCAAGAATTGCCAAGGTTAATGCCAGTCTGACCAATGTGAATGGATATAAACTCCTTTTTATACTCCTCCTCCTCCTTCATCATTTTTTTTAAAGCCAATGTAGCGAATTGGATTGCTTATTAAGAAAAATTGCCTTTATAGATCACTCAATTCATTTCTTGCAAAACAGAAATCAATATGAGATTGATTGGATTCCCCTGCCCCAATCAAAAAATTAGCTTATTTACCAGATTTATATATATATATACTAGTCTTTGGACACGTGTGTTGCACGTGTATTCTAAGTAATTTTGAATAAAATTTTACATAATTATCTAATATTATTGCAACACATATTGAGTAATAAAAGATAAATTAAAAAAAAAGTTTCATGAATGTGACACTTTTCTAGCTATTTGACAGTTAAGTTCAAAATAAGTGAATATGATATTTGACTATTGAACAAAAACACTTCAATGTTCATGCTCGTGACAAATAGAAAATAAAGCAACAAAAACAAATTGGACGTCAGAATTGTATAGAAAATAATAGATATTCTAAACTATAGACCTTAATTAGATACGTAAATACAAGCAACAAAATGAAAAATGTATCTACCATCTATAGATATTGTACGTACATGGCAAGTGAGACTGATGAAAATAAGAGAAAATTGATAGCTACATCAAATACAAATCCAATGAAGCTTCTTCGGACAACCTCTGGATTCAATAGAAAAATTGTAAAACATTGAAAACAACATTTATAATTATTTAAAATAATTAAATATTAAAAGGATAGATTTGTTGCATGAAAGTAACATGAATATAAGAGTGTGAAATAATTAAAATTACGATCCATAATAAGGATTGAAGGTTCTATACCAAAATGAACATCTATTGTAAATTCTCTAAAAATAAATAAATCAG